GAGTTCTATAAAACCCGGAGTAGTGACGTACTTTTTCTGAGCTTCAGAAAAACGAATTGCATGCCAGTCATTACATTTAAAACGCTGTAATTGAGTTATCTTTTCTAAATGTTTATCATCAGATTTAGGGAATGGCGGATCTTTTAACGTAGTTGATAGCTCTGACAATTGGAGCTGTTGACTATCTGCATCACTCGTGCTTGGCGGTGGGCGTAGACCCAACTCGTTTGTTGAAACATTGTTAGATCCACTTATTACCTCGGCAATCAACGAAGTACTCGTTTGAGGCTCACCGTGTTTTTGCGAAATCAAATTCGTTAGAAAAGCCACTTGTTGAGAAAGGAATTCAAACTGTGCACTTACATGGTTAGACCGCCTTTTTCTCCTCTTATCCGGACTAGAGTCCTCCGATGATGTACTGCTCGAACTTGAAGAACGACTTCTCTTCCGTGATACGTGTTCACCATCACTTTGTTCTTTATCAAAATATATTTCATCTTCCATTACGAGAGGATTTCACTACGTATTCAATTTTCGTTTTATTTAAATGAAAATTAAAATAATGATTGCTAGACGTGTTAACGATACGAAAAACGACGCTATAATGAGGTAAAAGCCGAGCGCCAGGCGGGTCGCCGCCACCCTAACCGATAAAACGAGGCGACAGTGGCGCCGGAAGTCGAAGAGAGGAAGTTGCTAGGACGAAAAACGTGAGAAAGACAGGTGCTTGACTCAAGATGGATTCCGGATATCGTCACGGAACAAATAATAAGAATAAAACAATAGAAAAATATTTAACAAGTTTATTGATTTTTGTATATAATAGCTATTTAATCTAGAAATAATTTATCCGGTGCTAAAAGAAAAGCGAATAAGGCCTATGCCTTCCCAGACTATACTTACAACTCTGAGCTTTTTATTTGGATAAATTCCCTCAGTATTGTCATTTACAATACAAAGTGACATTTGGAAAACTAAACCCATTTATGTATTACTAGCTGTTGCCCGCAACTCCATCCATGCAACATTAAAAAAATTAGCATATATGTTCTTCCAGGCTCTGTTCTATATCTATGCCAAATTTCAATAAGATCCATGAAGCCCTTTTGGAGATAACTTCTAACAAACATCCATCCAAATTTTCGCATTTATAATATTAGTAAGATTTAACAACACTAGTCTTTAGTGATTTTAGTAAGGCACGGCATTAAAAGCAACAAATCAAATCAAATTATTTAATAATTGAAAAAAGGCTACGAAAAAACGGTTAAGAAAATTATGCCATAAAATTGTTATTAAAACATCTGAAAAACTGTCAAAACTCGATATCAAATATTTCCTTATATATAATAAAGATTTTAATATACATTTTAATAAGTTTTATGCAATATTCCAAACATTACATTAACTACAATAATAACTTGAGTGTTGCCTGTCGAAATAATTCCCTCGCTGTTCAGACGACTAGAATAATATGGCAATTCTGGAAAGTCACTGCAAGGAAATAAACACATTAAATAATATTTTTAATCTATGATGCTATAAAAAATAAAGTAATTTTTGACGAATTTAAGTGAAGTGAAGTGAATCCAAAGTAACGAACATTTTCCAAATAAGATATGACCTAAAGGTCTATGGTACCAGGTCATAAAATTAAAAAAAAAGTAATTTTTTATCTCCTTCACAAATGAAAAAAAAACAATAAATCAATTTCAATCATTTATTTTATTGTGACGTTAACAAGTGCTATGAATTAAATGGACGGAAAACTAAGTACAAAAATAAATAATAATAAAATATGAAAAACATTAAAAAATATAAAACAAGAAACCATCCAATTAGTTAACGTTTAACATAAAATAAAATAAAAATCAAATCACTAAATATTAACTGAGACAAAAAAAAAATAACCTAACATTTATCACTTGGTTGTTCATAAATAAATTACTATATAACAATATTATTTAATTTGAAAAAAGGTGTACAGAAATAAAAATAAATCATAGATTAAAGAAGAATAGACATGCAGTATTGATAATTCGTAATTATTTAGTCTTAAAAAATTAAAAATACAGTAAAGTGCAAAAAAAAAGTAAGAAGAAGCGTGACATTTAAAAATATTTTGTTCTTGAACTACTAGATAACAGATAATTTTGATCATATACAAATAATAAGTATATAAGTAACATACATAAAACTTTTACATAATCTTTACTTCTTTTTCAACATAAGATAGTTTTTTTTTCAATAAAATGTCAAAAATAAATTAATTACAACGTGTTTTAAGTCACAAATTAATAATATTATCATCTTTTCCCTATTTCGTATACGTAATTAGGCGACCTAATGCTCGTCAAGTTATGGATAGCGTAAATGGATAGCATGATGGATTGGTCCTCCCATTGGTCAGCCGGTCTCCGGTAGCTAACAGAAATGTAGCGTTAGTTACAATCTACTCTAGTCGTGTAAACTACACTGACAGGTCGTGTAAATTACACAGACATTTTATGTACATTACACAGACAAGTAGTGTAAACTACACTGACATGTGTAAAAATAACTGACAAGTTGTATAAATTACACAGACAATTTGTGTAAATTACACTAACAAGTGGTGTAATTGTCCATGGTTACACATATAGTTTATATGTAAGGCTACATGATACTACACCATCAACAATAAGAATTGTAATAATACTAATAATTCTAGCTTCTAGCCGTGGATTTTCACTGCCTAAAACATATTTTTTTCCCTTCCACTTAATAAATAACTATATGTACGAGTCTTTGAGCTGTGGAAATCTACGGTAAAAGTATGAAAATAAAACAAATAATTTCAATATGTACTGTGAATTAACTTATATAACAAAGCACCAAGTTTAACTACTTATATTACATGTGTTATGTACTTAGCAACATTATGTATTATGCTTAGTTTTATACTACATCTAAACTATTAATGCATGTGAAAAGATTTCGTTGACTGTAAAAGCCAACGAATTATTTAATATAACGAATATTGAAAAAAAAATGAAAAGCCAAGTTTGTTTTATTAAATATCGTAAATTATGCAAAAAAGTGATTGTTATGTCTAAAATCAAAGCATAATTACATCTATTATTGTTTACAATTAATATTAATAATATCTAAAAGCGCTTATTATATATTTTACAACTAAATATATTATGTACTATTGAATCACTATATTTAAATAACATTGTTTATAATATTACGTAGCTATTAGATGGTTTGGTAAGAAATTTGTTGATTTACAAAGCAAAAAATCATTAAGTTTTTAAATAGTTAAATCGAGTATAAAGTATTTTACGGATTTAATGATGTCAAAAGTGTTAAACCACAGATAAGAAAAAATCCGTTTTCATTCAAAACTCTTTCCAAACACATTCTACACAATATTGTCTATCAACATATCGATGATTCCGTTTCTATTTAATTCAAAGAAAAAAAAGACAAAAAACTACCAAAACTAAAACGATCTCACCGTGTGGCAACACTAGGTATGACAGATGTCAGATGACAGTTGACAGATGACAGTTGAGAGATGTCTTACGAGGAGAAGTCGCGCAGGCGGTCGACGACGTGTCGGCGGTGTCGCGCCAGCCAGTCGATGTTGACGCGCGCGCGCTCCACGCCCTGCTCCACCGCCAGGCGCGCGTCCTCCAGGTACTTCTCGTTCTTCTGCTTCCACACCAGGAACTGAACGCAATTCATTAATATCATTGTAGCTTAATGTTTTCATTTTTTTATATTATAAAGTGGCAAACGGGCAACTCGTACTGCACCAGCGTGGCTTGGGATAGACTCGGAACCTCTCTGTATGGACCTATAGTGAGCTGATGATGATGAT